TTCTTAAGGAGCTGGCAGAATGGTAAGAAGAGGCAGGCATGTAAACAAATTTAGTAATACAATTTACTGGGGGTAGTGATAGGGTATGTACAGAGTACAGGGGGGATACCAAGTGGGCAGATTAACCTGGAAAGGGTCAGGAAAGTCCTCACAGGGAAGGTACATCTTGCATTAGGATAGAGGAGGAAAGACAGAGGTGCATATCAAACACATAGCAAGCAATCATCAATTGGCTTAAAGAACATAGGGGAGAGATGTCCAGTGAGCAGGTGGACATTGAGATTTAGAAAGCAGAAGTTGGTCCCAGAGATCCAAACCTGATGGCATTTAGCCTTAAGGTGGTTGTGTGAAACTGGGTGTATTAGTCTGTTTTCATACTGCTGATTAAGGCATTCCTAAGACTGGGTAATTTATAAGAAAAAGAGGTTCAATGGACTCACAGTTCCACATGGCTGGGAGGCCTCACAATCATAGTCGGGGGTGGAAGGCACATTTTACATGGCAGCAGGCAAGAGAGAAAATGAGAATCAAGCAAAAGGGGAAACCCCTTATAAAAACATCAGATCTCGTGGGACTTATTCACTACTATGAGAACAGTATGGGGAAAACCACCTCCACGATTCAGTTATCTCCCACCAGGTCCCTCCCATAACACATGGGAATTATGGGAGCTATAATTCAAGATGAGGTTTGGGCGGGTACACAGCCAAACCATATCACTGGGTGAAGAGCTGATATCCCCAGATGGCACCACAGATAGCCTAAGAGGATGTTGGTGAAATAGAGCTGTTCTCAGCCTTAGTCAGTGAAGGAGACAGGGAAGAATTTGTTGGAACTGAGGGCCAGAAGCCAAGCCTGAGACATTCAGAGCAAGTTTTACCTTTATACTTTAAGGACACAGCATCTAGACTCAGAGCAAACTTCTAAAGCCCGTCGGGTGGCATTGAACAGATTACTTAAACTCTGTTTGGCTCAGTTTCCATAACCATGAAACAGAAATAATAATAGGACCTGCCTCAGGACTGTTGTAAGAATTAGATGAGATAATGTTTATAAAACAATGTCTGGCACATAGCAAACAATCATCAAATAATAGCCTTTGCTATCAATTTATTATTTTAATGGCTATGAAAAACTAGAGAATTAATTTTAAGCCCTTAATCACTATATTGTAACGCAGATGCATTCATTCATTTGAGAAATATTTATGAAGCAACTACTATGTGCCAGGCATGTTTTTTGGTACTACCAGGGAGAAATTAATATCTGTGGTTTTAAGACCTTAACCTGATGTTAAGATCTCAAGGGATCTATGAATCAGATGGGAGAAAATACATCCTTATTTTCACTAAACTAACTAAAATTTAGTGTCTCCCTCAATTAGGAATGTAGACAACAAACTACAACAGTATCGACAGAACATGTGACTCTGTCACCAACAGAAATAAATATTTTCATATCACATTTCAGTTATTGCCAATAGCTACACATATTTGCTGGAAATAACATTATATCAATTTATGACATTGGTAAAGAAATTTTAAGTACTGGCATTTTTTTTTTTTTTTTTTTTTGAGACGGAGTTTCGCTCTTGTTACCCAGGCTGGAGTGCAATGGCGCGATCTCAGCTCACCGCAACCTCCGCCTCCTGGGTTCAGGCAATTCTCCTGCCTCAGCCTCCTGAGTAGCTGGGATTACAGGCAAGCGCCACCATGCCCAGCTAATTTTTTGTATTTTTAATAGAGACGGGGTTTCACCATGTTGACCAGGATGGTCTTGATCTCTCGACCTCGTGATCCACCCGCATCGGCCTCCCAAAGTGCTGGGATTACAGGCTTGAGCCACCGTGCCTGGCCAGTACTGGCATTTTATGTGTTAATGAAGAAGAACATATATCAATATAAAAATCATCATGAGCATGCTTTACATTCCTGACTATGGTCAGCTCAGGGTCAGTTTCCCTTGGATGCTTTTTTTCCTTGAGTATCAGGACAATTCTTGTTTCTTTTAGTAATCTAGCATTATATCCTGGACACTGTCCATGATGAATTCTAGTAGCTTTGGCTTCTTGGTGTCTGTTATATTTCTCCAAATATGAGTTTGTTGTTGTGGTGGTGGTGATGGTGATTTGTTGTCTTAGTAGACAGTTAACCTAGCTAAACTCACTCCAAGTGTTGGGTACCAACTGCAAGCCCTAGACTCCGTTTCCACAGTATTGGGCATCAGCTGAAACCTCTGCTCAGTTCTTTTCTTGGACTCTGCCCCATGCATGCATAGCTCTGGGGTCAACCAGAGATTTGGGCAGAGTGTACAGGCCAAACACGGGGCTCCTCCACACGGTGCTTCTCTGCTCCCAGGTATTGCCCCTCCCGCTTTTCCTCTGCCATGGCCACCCCAAAGTCTGCTCTCTGGGTCTCTGAGTTTTGGTCACCCAGCATGGTGTCCTCTATGGCCCATGCTCACATGCAGACAAGCAAGAAACTTGCCTTTGCAGAGAGGAACAAGGTTACAAACCTCACTGCAGTGCTGAGTGGTTCGGGCTCCGCTGTGGCTTCCACCAATGACTGGGCAGACATTGCAGGACTCGGGATGCTGCCATGAGAACCACAGCTACCAGTGCTTCTCTGGGAATGGGCGACACAGCCCCTGCCACCAGCAGCCCAGCCTGACTGAAATCTGTGGGGACCCTGCTTCTTCCCACTTCGGACCTCAGACTCAGTGGGTAGTGGGTTCATGTGATTGGTGGAGCCTGAGTTAGGTATCCATGCTGTAGCTACAAGGGAAGCTGGGGGAGAGAATATTAACCATCTTCGGGATCTATAGTGGGAGGCAAATTCTACTTCACGGAATGGGGCAACATCCCAAAGAATGGTTAATATAAAAATAATTGTCATTGTCTACTTTGTATGGTATTAAATGGACAGAAGAAAGAAGAGAGAAAAACACAGATTAAGAAACAAATAAAATACACAAATTATCAGTATCAGGAATCGGAGTGGTGTTATCACTGCAGATAATGATAGAACATCATGTACAACTTTATATTAATAAATTTGGCAGCTTACGTGAAATAGGAAAATTTCTTGAAAGATACAAATAGCAAAGCTCAGTCCAAAAGAAAGAAATGCAGGCATACCTCGGAGATAGTACGCCTTCTATTCCAGACCAAGGCAATAAAGCAAATATCACAATAAGCCAGTTACCCACAGTTTTTGGTTTCCCAGGGCGTATAAAAGCTATAGTGTATTAAATATACAATAGTATTATGTCTGAAAAAACATTGTACACATCTTAATTTTAAAATATTTTATTGCTAAAAATGCTAATAATCATCTCGCGTTTAGCGTGTGGTGAGGGAAGGCAGACATAAAACAGCAAGCTAGCTGACACTGCATGAAGGCTTCCATGGAATCAACCTAGGTGTTCATCAGTGATGGATTGGATAAAGAAAATGTGGTACATATTCACCATAGAATACTATACAGCCTTAAAAAAGAATAAAATCATGTCCTTTGCAGCAACATGGATGCAGCTGGAGACTGTTATGGTAAGTGAATTAGTGCAGGAACAGAAAACCAAATGTTACACGTTCTCGCTTATAAGTGAGAGCTAAACATTGGGTACTCGTGGACATAAAGATGGAAACAACAGACACTGGGGACTACAAGAGGGGGCAGGAATTGAAAAACTAACTGTTGGGTACTGTGTTCAGCACTTGGATGACAGAATAATTTGTACCCTAAACCTCAGCATCACACACTATACCCAGTCAACAAACCTGCACATGTACCCCCTAAATCTAAAATAAAAGTTGAAAAAATAAAATTTCTTAGGTACTGTGTGTATATATATATATATATATATATATATATATATACACACACACACACACACACACACACACACACACATACACGCATTGCACATAATGGAATTAAGGCCCTTATAAAAGACTTCACGCAGCATCTGCCTAGCTGGTTTCTCTCTCTCTCTCTCTCTCTCTCTCTCTCTCCATATATATATACACACACATGGATATTTATATTGCACACAACATTGGGCACACTACTTCAACACTTTACAAAGAGAGACACAGAAATGGCCAGTGAGCACATAAAAAAGTACTCAACATGATTAGTCATCAGAAAGGTTATAATTGAAATAACAATGAGATACCACTTCCCACCCTCTCAAATGGCTAAAAATAAAGGCATACAACCTCAAATGTTGTTGAGGATGGGAAAGAAAAGGAACTCTCATACATTTCTGGTGGGAATGTAAATTGCACAACCACTTTGGAATACATTCTGGCAGTTTCTTATGAAACATAAAACTATCCTATGATGTGGCAATTCATCTCTTAGGTATTTGCCCAAGAAAAATGAAAGTATATTTCCATTCAAAGATGTGTACGTGAATATTCATAGCAGCTTTATTTATAATCGTCCAAACTGGAGACAGCCCAGATCATCACCTGGTGAATGAATAAACCAACTCTCATGTATCCATACAACAGCATACTACTCAGCGATAGCACATTCAATAACATAGATAAATCTTAAAAACGTCACGTTGAATGAAAGAATCCAGACACACAAGAGTACATACAATCTGATTCCATTCATACAGAATAGTGGCTTTCCTGGTCTTCGCCCTCAGTTCCCGACCCTCCACTGCCCCCACCACCATGTTGAAGACGCCCAAGAGGGAGAGGTCCCTTGCATTCCTTCATTCCCTCCTTCGTCTGCTGGTCGATTTTTTCATTCATTCATCTGCACGCTCATTCCACTCCTCCCCGCCTCCACCCAAGCCTCTAGCCCGCCCGCGCCGCTCCCCGGCAGGCGGATCAGACTGGCCCGCCCAGTTCGCCCCGCCCTAACCCCGCCCCTTTCCTTCCCCGCCCCCTTTCTGGGCCAATCGAGGCCGAAACTGGGGCGGGGGCGGGGCCTCGCTTCCACAGAACCCCCGGCTGCGCTCGCGGCTCCGGAAACGCGCTGCGGGGCTGTTAGGCTCTGCCGGGCACGGGCTTCTCCGTGGCGCTTCCTGCCACGCCAGGCCTGCCTGGGCCGCCCCAGCGCCGCTCCGCCGAGGGCCGCGCGACGGCCGCCGCCGGCTTGGGTGAGTGTGCGGGCCACGGGAGTATGTGCGGGGAGCGCGGGACTGGGCGCAGGGTCCTGGTGATCGTGAGGGCGGCCAGAGGACGTGCGGGCCTGAATGAGCGTGCGGGGCCGCGAGAGGATGTGCAGGGCGCGCAGGACCGTGTGCGGGGCTGGAGTGACTGTGCGGGCCGCGGAAGAGTGCACGGTGGAGGGAGGGAGCGTCTCTGGGCGGTTGGAGAGCTGCTTGGCCTTGGGCCGGCCAGAGCTGGGAACGGGTCCCGGATGACTGGTACGAAGAGGCCCGAAGGCCTTCCCGAGGCGGGCGGGGGGCGGCGGTCCCGGGTGGGAATAGCGAAAGTGCGGAGGCCTGCTCTGCTCTTTGGGGGACGCTAGGGGTTGGGAACCGCTCAGGGGCGGAGAGAGAGGACCCCCGCCCCTAGCACCTAGAAGCCCCATTGAGAGGGAGCGTTGTAGTGGGGAGCTTAAAGGACTTTTCATCGGTCTGGGGGAGGGGCTGAGCCGCAGTCCGGGCGCTGGGTGGGAACAGTTCCCACTAGGGAGTCCCTCCTTTCCTTTTGAAGGGGCGGGGGTGATGTTAAGCCTCAGCTTGGTGGGGAGGATGGGGGCGGATAGGTAGCCTAGAGAGAGAGCTGAGGGGAAGGAGGGGAGAGGGGGCGGTGAGCTGAGCTCAAGGCCCTCTGTCTGAACCAGTCTTTTTCTCTTGCCCTACTGGGGGCCGCCATCTCCTGCTCCAGTGCCTCCGCCCTCTTAAACTCCTTTGCTGGCTCCACCAGTCTATATTTGGGTGATTAATTACATGTCTTTTCCACACACACACACCCCACTCGTCTGCTGCCCAAAGCCCATGGTCCCTTTCAAACAACCTCCCCCCCAATTCCTGGCCCTCTTCCCAGAGGTCCCACCCTGCCACCCTGTTCCAACCGAAGCCCTCCAGCCAGCCTTGGCCTAGCTGGGCATGCTGCCCCCTCCAGTCTTCTTGGTCAATGAAACATTTCCTCTTCAACCTCAGCCCGACATTTTTCCTTTACAAGAGATTTTCAGATGGGATTGCTGGAACAGCACCTCTCCTAGGTACTAATGCTGCCTCAGTCCTTCCCCAGCCCCACCCCAACCCCGACCCCCACCCCGCAACACTGGGCCTTCAAGTAGAAGCCACTTGCACAGTGTCTGGCTCAGTTCAGTACATCCCCCCAAAATGTTGCTTGGGAGATGTACTGAACTGGGCCACACACTGCGGGTTTTATATATAGAACCCTACTGAGTGGTGATTTTTAGCCTTCTGTCTGTGAGGGACCCCTTGGAAATCTACTAGAATGTGTGAACTCTCTTCTGATCAGCACAGACTTGCAGATAGTGGGCTCCCATTTCAGGAGGCTCCTGGGAAGGAATCCTGTCAATGACAGATTTTGAGAGTTGGAGAATTTGGGAACCTCCAGATTCTAGACAGGCCAGTGTTAAGGAGGTGGAACTCTGCGTCATAATCTCCTGGATGCTTGTTGAAAAATGCAGATTCCTTGGTCTCTCCCAAACCTGCTACTCTGCCACATGAGTTCTTAGTGAACTCCAAACCAACTTTCTCACTCAATGGTCCAGCCCTTACCCAAACCTGCCTAGGCTCCTTGGATGGCCCTGAGCTCCTTGCAATTTGCATAGCATCCCACCTCACCCCCAATTTCAAATCCTTTGTATCCAGGCAGTGTTACCTAAAGGAAGCTATACTTACAATTTATTTTGATTTTTAGTAAGATGCTTTCCTCAATTAAGTACACAAAGCTTTCCTCAATTAAGTACAACAAACACTACAAAATCCCTTTCTGGTCTACCTTCTGGCTTTTTATAGAAAGGAAATAAGATAGAAACCTAAACAGAAAGAGACAGGTGCCCAGGCAAAGTGAGAGAGGAAACAGATGCCTTCCCACCCACACATACAGAAAAAGGCACACACAGACACAAATACCCCAAGAGAGACAGACTTTCCTAGTGAGATACCCTCTCTTTAGGCCCTTCAGGATTCGAGTAGCAGCCTGTTTGCATGGGACGGGACGGAGTGGGCCCACATGGGGCCTTCGCTTACGCCTCCTGGCCTGCCAAGTGGAAAGAACATGAAGGCCAGGCTCGGCGTGGCCCAGGGCTTGGCTCAGGAGTTGCATCCTGGCCTGGCTAGGGTGGATCCAGATCTTGGTGGTGTATATTCAGTTGAACCCAGTATCTGGCCCAGTTCAGTACATCCCCCAAAATGTGGGGGACAGGTTCCTGGGAGGTGCACACAGGTCAGCTTCTGTTCACCTGAATTATTGCAATCCAACAGGTGGGGCCTTACCTGCCAGGCTGATCCCTTGGAGTAGCTCTGAGCCATGATGAGTCATTCGTGTGTGTCTCTTTTGGGTAAGTCTGGGTGTTGATGTGTACTGTCTGCTGGCCTTGACGCTGGGCATGCTACCAGAAGACCCTATGGGTAGGGTTACAACATGGTGAGGAGTATCATTTTGGTTCCAGAAGCACTTATATTTTCATCTATGCCAGTGTTGCTGAACTGTCTGCCCAGAGACAGTTCTCTCAATCCACGCACTACAGCTCACAGGAGAAAAGACATTCAGGAAAGAGAATTTGGAATCTAGTCTCTCTTTTGGATGGGAGAGACAGCTGAAGGCATCCACCTGAACTGGATCTCTTGTGAGTGGAAACCTTTGAAAACACCCTTTGGAGTATATCTGCTCTTGCCTGGAACTGAACTGAACACAAGCCACCTGTTGTCTTCTGGGTAAGCTCAGGCTTTAAGGCCTGAGGACATTGTGCTCCAGGTCTTTATTTAGATGCTTCAGAGAGTCCAGGTGTTTCTGGCACCTCTTGGAAGCTTCTGGAACCTTCCGGATGGGCTTTATTTGGGTGCCCTTGCTACCTTTCCCCCGCCCAGGGAAGGACAGCGCACCTGTTAGAGAATGTTGCTCGGCTATTTGCGTGAAAAAATCAGTTAAACGCTGATCTTTAGGTTCAGAAGCTACCTTTAGCCAGTAGCCAGACATCTGGCAGCGGGGCAGGGGTGTCCTTAATCCAAAGGCAACCAGAAAACACCTGATTATTACTACATTTTGTGGCGTGGGTTGTTTTTTTGTCTGTTGAATTCAACTCTTCATTTCTGTTCTTCCACATCAAAGTGAAATGATTATTTTGGGTCTCTTAGTGTTTTCTACTTCCATGCAGTAAAAATGTAAATAAGTTGATTAAAATTTACATTGTGATCTAACCCATGTTAGCAGGAAGATTTGTTCACTCACGTGAGCTCTCGTGTTTTAAAAAGCATGATTTTTGAAATTATCAGGCAATAGGTTGACATTGACATCATTATTTTCCATTTATTCTAGCAGATGTTTGTTAAACAGCTTCAGTGTAATGGTGCTTGCCTAGGTCCAGTGTGCAATTCACAGCTGACCTTGACAGGGCCTTTGCTTTCTGGGAGTTTATAGTCTTTAGACTATCTTCAGATCCCATTGAAAGAAGGCAAGTAATACTGTTTACATTAAGGATTGGAAATGTGTTTTCCCATAGTATTTCTTCGAGTTTTCATATTTCCCAGTTGTATTTAGTTGTGCACCCTACAAGATTCGGGGCATGCTTTTATGCTGTGAGTGAAAGTGCCTTATGTTCAAGGTCAGCATTACCCTGTGTGGTCCATCGGGTGTGCATTACAATGATTTTCATGTTCCATCTGGAATTGCTTTGACCTTGATTCCCCAAGATCCACTGTCAGAAGGCAGTGGACACCTGCATTTGTCACTTTTGCAACAGCATCCAGCTTCTTTTCCTGATTAGTTCCACCATTTTAAAATAGAACAGTTGTGCGACATGGATCCTAGATGATCCAATTGTCTCTAGGATTGATGATACTTTTATTCTGAACTGCAGTAGGGATTAATACGTTACCTTTTTAAAAATGATCTTCCTTCACTTCTAAAGCTCTTTTACCTGATATACTTGATTGATTAATTATGCAGAGTTTTGTTTCCTTTTGTGGGAGCAGGGCCCACTTCTTTCCTTCCATTTTTATGAGCACCTGTTAAATGATCTCCATGTGTCCAGGAGCTCTGTCACTGTGGGTGGTGATCACACAGCCACTGAGAGCTAAAGTGCTCTCAGGCTAAGTCCCCTGGGTGAACTGTTTCAGGAAGGGCCACTTCTGTTTCTGCATAGGAAAGGATAATTAACAATTCATTTGGGGGTTGTGGCTCCAGGATTTCAACAGTTAATCATGCCAATTAAGTAAAAACACTTCAGTAGGATTTGCTCGATTAAATGGAACACTTCAGGAGAATTCGCTCGATTAAACATGGTTGGCTTGGGAGAAGTGTGTGTGTGTGTGTGTGAGAGAGAGAGAGAGAGAGAGAGAGATGGAGGGGCAGAGAGAGAGGAATAATGTGTCTCCTTTGCACAGTGAGGGCATGTTAACAGGATGGTTTAAAGGCAGCCCCCAAACATCCATATGTATCATTAGACCTAGATGCACTAAGCCTCACCCCCAGTCTGTCTTCTGGCTGTGGTGTGATATTATAGGTTGAATATTATTTTGCTCTTCTCTGGTGTGGTTCAAAAAGTCTCAAATCTTGGGAGCTGGATATTAAGCAAGTTAACCTCTTGGAGCCCTGGTTTCCTTCTCTGTGAATGGAGGCGGTAATAACCACAGGCTGTGATAAGTGAGTTACAGGAAGGGAGATGCATGGCTCCAAACACGTGTAGTGCCTGCTCCATTGAACATGCCCCTCCCCACACACATTGATTCAGTCACCCTACAATTTATCAGAGCCAGGAGCTGCTGCAGACACTGGGGACTCAGAAGTAACCAAGAATGAGAAAGCCCCTACACTGTTAGAGCTCCGTTTCTCCCAGAGACTGTCAGTTAGAAACAAGCAGTTTCATTGGGTCATGTTTTAGTCAGCAGAAGTGTTCCGAGTAGACTATGATGGGGACTAGAATGCCTTCACTAAAGGCATTCTACAGAGGTGACATTAGAGTTGAGGCCTGACATGGGCCAGGCACAGTGGCTCACACCTGTCATCCCAGCACTTAGAGGTTCAGGTGAGAAGATGGCTTGAGCCCAGAAGTTCAAGACCAGTCTAGGCAGCATAGTGAGACTCCATCTCTACAATTTCTGTTTTAATTTAAAAAATTAGCTGGGCATGGTGGCACGCAGCTGTAGTCCCAGCTACTTAGGAGGCTGAGGCGGGAGGGTCACTTGAGCTTAGGAGGTCGAGGCTACAGTGAGCTGTGATGGCACCACTACACTCTAGCCTGGGTGACAGAGCCAGACCCTGTCTCAGAAAAATAAGAGTAGCGTTGAAGCCCAAATTCTCAGGAGCCACCCATGAGAAGCTTATGGTACTCTCAGCAGTTTCAGAGGCCTTGAAGGCCACAGCCTTGGCCTATCTAGGACTGAATGAAGGCCAGCGTGTCTGGATATCACTGAGATGTGGCAAGGCAAGATATGGTATTGGTGGGCTGCGCCAGGGCCTTGTTGGAAGTTTAAGTTCTTAGGTCTCTGGCCTGAGGTCAACAAGAAGAGGTCTCTAACAGCTCCTCTTTCTCAGAAGGTGTATCCACAATACCCCCCTCTCCAGTCCATTTGGCAGCCAAACGTCAATGTCGATTAGAAGGAAATTTCTTAAAAAATGACTTGTATAAGTAATTCATGACCATTTCATTTTGTACTGGAAGCCAAAGTCAAATCAGACATCGAATGTATACTAGAGGAATCTAGCAGAGCATCAGGGCCCTGCCCAGGAGGGCATGGCTGCTGAGCACCTGAGGATGAACACAAACTCACCGGGGAAGCCCCTGTGCCAGGCAGCCTGTTAAAGATGGGAATGGGGCTGCCTTGGACTCGGGCTGGATGAGGCCTTCTGCCAACACTTCCTAGGTGCTGATAGCTTGCAAGGAGGAGCCCAGAAGTCACAACCCCATGGGCCTGTCTCTAGGCTTTCTGGTCATTGCCCTTCGTGGACTGCCCACAGATTCCTGCCAGCCCTCCCCTGCACTTGCCTTGCCATGTGAGCATCCCAGGAAATGCTGGTCTTTTGACCCAAGCAGAACGGCTGTTTCCCATTGACTCCTTGGCCTCAGCCCTTGTCCTCTCACATGCTGAGCATCTTTATTACCCAAAGTCTTTTAAAACCAAAATATTTTACAATTGTTGTCCTTTTCTGATACCAACAAAATTCAGCTTGGTTACTAAAAATTCTCAGATTGCAGAAAAAGAAAGCAGATCTTTCTAGACCTAGACTCTTCCCCCACTCCAACCCCATGTGGTCACATACACATTGAGATGTGTTTATTATAGCAACAAGTCTTTTCCTTTTCTCTCTTAAAATACAAATGTATACTTAGCCATCTCCTCCCCTTCCTTTACCTTCTTTGGGTTTTCAAGGGAGAGTTACTATGTCTGCCTGTATCATCTATGAAGGATTCACATTTTTGTCATCTGTAGCACGTCATCCTACGTTGGCACCTGTTGGTTTATATTGAAACCCTCCAGTTTTCTTCCTGCTGAGTTCTAGGAGTCTTCGGTAGTGTCTCCAGAGCTCTTAGCCACATTTGTCATTTATTCTTTCTGCCACTTTTTTTGTGACATTGGGATTTTTCAGAGTCTTTCTGTTGGTTCTAGTATTATGTTTTCCATTCTCCATCCGTTTACTTTTAACCTATCTGTGTCTTTATGTTTCAAGTTTCTTGTAGACAGTATGCCTTCTTTTTATTACAGCCTGAAAATCTCTGTCTTTTGATCAGAGCGTTTAGTCCATTTATACTTACCTTAATTATTCACGTGGTTGGGTTTAAGTTTGCCATCTTGCTGTTTGTTTTCATTTGCCCCTTCCATTCTTTTTTCCCCTCTTTTTCTTTACCTTTCTTCTTTCAGATTATTGTTAGTACATATTTGATCTCTGCTGTTGGCTTATTAGCATGTATCAGAGTCTCGGAGGACTTGCCAGAACACCCAATCATATGTTTTACTTCTACTGCTGGTATGAGCCCCACACTACCTTATTAGTATTTTTGCTTTAGATGATTAATTATTTTTTAAAGATTTAAAAGTGAGGTGGGTAAAAGCGTTTTGCATTTCCCCAAATATTGACATTCCTGGTGTTCTTCATGCCTTTGTGTAGATCCATCTTACCACCTACTACTATTCTCCTTCCACCTGAAAGATTTCCTTCAGTATTTCCTGTAGTACAGATCTGCCAGTGATGAATTCTCTCAGCTTTTGTCTGAAAACAAATTTTGTTTCGCCTTCATTTTGAAAGGAAATTTTCCTTGAATATAGAATTCTAAGTTGACAGGTTTGTTTTTTTCTTTCAGCACTTTAAAAATGTCATACATTGGTTTTCTGGTTTGCACACTCTGATGAGAAGTTAGCAATTACTCTTTGTTTCTCTCTACTTGAAGACTTCCTTTATCACTGGTTTTTCAGCAGTCTGATTATTATGGGTCTTTTAAAGTCTTGCTAGGGGTTGATTGAGTTTCTTGGATGTGTGAGCTTACAGTTTTCATCAAATTTGGAAAACGATCCAGCCATTATTTCTTTAGCTGTATTCTTTATCCCTCCCCCCATTTCCTCACCTTCTCAGGTTCCAGTTATGTAGGTGTTAGACCACTTTCTATTACCCCAGGTTATTGAGATACTGTTCGTTTTTAAAAGCTTCATTTGAGCTAATTTCTATTGCTGTGTCTTCAAGTTCTCTAATTTTTGTGTGTGGTATCTCATCTGCTGTTAATCACATCTAGTAAAATTTTCACTTTAAATATTGTAGTTCTCACCTCCAGAAGTTCCATTTGGTTCTTTTTGAATCCTCTGTTACTCTCCCTATATTCCTGTTTTTCTTTTAACGCTTATATGTCGTTAAACTCACTGTTATCCTTATCTGTCAGTCATCACTGGTCATTTCTGTGTGTTTCTATTAACTGGTTATTCTCCTTGCCATAGGTCACATTTCTGTGCTTTTGGGCATTTCAGTACTTTCTGATTGGATATTGGATATTATAAAGATTATATTGTTGAGTGTCTGGATTTGGGGTGATAGTTATTTGTGGATCAGTTTGATCCCCTTGAGGCCTATTTTTAAGCTTTCTTTGAGACAGATCTTGTGTAGCTTTGGCTCTGGGAATAGATCAGCCCTACTACTGAGGCATGACCCCTCTGGATTCTCTACTGCGTGTCCCAGGTGGTCACGGAGGACTCTCTATACTGATTGGTCAAATCTTGAATGTCTCCCTACCTTTGTGTGCCCTGAAAATTGTTCAGCTTACAGCTTCCTGGTCACTCTTTTCCTGGGCTTTTAGAGTTTCACTCTATACACGCATGGCCTAGTAGTCAGGAAAGACTCAAGGGGAGGCTTATACAGATTTTTTGAAGCTCTTTTTTTCTGCGTAACTAACTCCTTTCTGGAACTCTGCTCTGCAACTTCCAGCTCCCTCAGCTGCTCTGAATGCTGGCCTGTGTCTCCTCAACTTGGCGAAGCCACTGAGCTCTGTTTGGTTCTCGCCCCCCCCCCCCACCACCAAACACACAATCCCTATCTGGAAATTGCCTCCGGGCAGAAAGCTGGGGCAATCATAGGGCTCCCGTCATCTGTTTCTCTTCTCTTGGGGCTCATAATTGTGTGCTTCTTGCTGTCTAGTGTCTGAAAATTGTTTCACATACATTTTCTCCATTTCTCTACTAATTTATGGCAGGATGTGAAATATGTTCCTTGTTACTCCATCACAGCCAAAAGTGGAAGTTTCTGTCCATTCTTTTTAACATAACATCTTTAATTTTGTATAAAAGTCTTTCTGGAGTAGCTGGATTTTGTGGGCCTTGAGCCAGTGTAAAACGCCTTCCTTTTTACTGAATTATGAGTTGAATTGAATTGTCATCAGAACAGGATCCGTGTAGCTGTTTCTTTGAACTCACTGAAGTGGGAGGCCTGTGATGCGTGGATGTTGGTGAATTTGGAAGAAGAAGGTAATTTGTACAAATAGTTCAACTTTTATTTAACAATTTAGTGTTTGAAGATCTTTCCTTTGAGGCTTATTTTTCCACCTGTTTTGTTGAACTTTTCATTTGGTTGAATGCATTAGAGAACTGCTGTCATGTGTACCCGTCTCGCTGTCACCAGGCTCCTTGTTTCAGTAGGCTGTGGCTTTTAAGGGCCTCACTGCTGATCTAGAAGCCCCCGTTCCCTCCGGCATCCTGATCTAGTTTTTTGTTACCTCTACAAAGTTGGAAATGGTCTCTCATTTCCTGGTTATCTCTTCTGATGATCTTCATGTGCCTCCTTCCTGTGCAGTCTCAGCATGGACTTCTTCTAGGCTTGCCAGTCTCCCTGCCATTGGCTCTCTGTCTAGATCTGTCTTCTCCTGGCTATGCCTGGGCTGGCATCAGCTGGTCTTGTCTTGGCTCCCTCTAGCCTGCCTCTGTTCATTCTTTGCCAGTCTGCTTTCCCCCACTGTTCAAGGTGTGTTTTCTCAGGCATCTCCATGCCCTGGCTTGTCATTGAGCCAGCACATGAGAGAAGACTCAACAAGCTCAGAAAAGGAAATCACCAGTGTCATCCCAGGGGACTCAGAAACAGGGCTGTTGTCACTCATGGCTTTTTTCACTTTCTTTAGGTCCACCTACTCCCCAAGGTCTTGCCCTTCCCCAGGATGGAGCCCCAGGAAACCAGGTCCTGGCAGTCCTTCTTGAGACGCCAGAGGCCCAGGTGAGCCTGTGCTTCCCTCTGCCTCGCTTGGGATTCTGTCACTGCTCCCTGAATCTGGCCTCGACCTCTGTCTTTTGCCCCAGCATGACACACAGCAGAGTATGAACCCCAGCTGCTGCCTTCCTGCCCTCCCACTGCTTCTCTTCTGGAGGCTGCCAAGGATTGGATGTCCACTGGGCTTGGAGTTCCCATCATCCAGGTGGGGGAGCTGAGTTTCCATCCAGGAAAGTGATTGAACGGAGGTCCCTTGGGAAGACAAGAGAGGCCAAGGCCATGGCCCAGGGATCCTAGTTCTTCATCAGGTTCTCTTTCTAGGACTTCTTGGAGCTGCGGTTAGACGTCCGTGTTAGCAAGAGACACCCACTCTAGACTCTCACCTCTTGTCCCTGGCATTAGTGGCACTGCCCCTGCCTCATTCTAAAATAGATGGAAAGAATGATTAGCCCTGGGAATTCTTTCAGGATTTGGTGACATTTGATGATGTGGTGTGGTACCTCACCACAAGGGAGTGGTTGAGGAGGGACCCTGAGCAGAGGGTGCTGGCATATTATGGGAACGTGACCTCTGTGGGTAAGGATGCCCCAGCCCTTCCTCAAATTCACTACCTGCTTAGAGTGGGACAGGGGGCACATGGCTACTCCCACAGAAGCTCACCGTCTCCCTGAGTTTTGGGGAAACAGAATGAGTCTGCCACACCTGATATGTCAGAGTAGCATCAGCTCCCCCACCAGGGTGAGGATCACCTCCTCAGGGTGGCCATGGAAAGAACCCCTCTCAGTCTTTCATTGGGAAAGAAATTAGAACGCTGCCACTGTAATGTAGAATACTCTTTTCTTTTTAATGCACAGATTATGCAAACTGCATGGCCATTTGATTTGAGTTTACTTGGGAGAAAGGTTGATGTGATCAAGGTCTTGTTCACCAATTAGGGGTCTGCATGTATGCAGTGGGGAGGAGTTTTTAGGAGAGACTGTTGGGAGTCAGATTTGGGAGTTTTGAACGTTCTGGTGTCGGGGAAGAGCATGAAGTTCAATGTGTGAGCACTGAGGGGGTGGACAGGGAGAAAGCAGGGTCAGGATCACCTCGTCAGAGTGGGCACTTGATGATACTCCACAGGAGCCTCCCCCAAGTGGGCTCAGAGCCTGCCTTCCTCAAGCTCCTGGAAGGCACCTGCCCTTGGGAAACACCTTTGAACTGAATGAATGACTTGCCTAAGGTTACGGCCAGCCTGGTCTTTGAAGAGTGAAGGGGGTAACCCTTCAAAGGCCTTGTTCGTGCTCCTCCACTATTCTCATGTCACCTCTGGCTGTCACCATAACCAGTCTCCTTTTCCATGAGCAGGTGTTCCTGTTTTGAACCCTGCCTTGGTCCCTCATCTGGCACAGGGACAAGTGCTGTTGGTATCAGACCCATCGCCCAGCACAGATCCAACTAAGTACTCTGGTGAGTGAAAAAGAAATGTGAGAAAATCGGGGGAGGCCCAACTGAATTGCAGTGGGGTTTGGGTTAGGGTTGGGGGGCCCAGCTGAGCTCTTGGAGTTGAGGTTAAGGTTCAGAGGATCAGCTGGCCTCTCAGAGATTTAGAGTTAGAGTTAGGGGCACAGCTGAGCTCTTGGGGTTGAAGTTATGGTTGGGGGGCCCAGATGAGCTTTTGAGATTGAAGTTAGGGTTTGGGGACCCTGCTGAGCTCTTGGGCTTGAGGTTAGAGTTAAGAGAATCAGCTTAGCTCTCAGGGGTTTGGGTTGGGGCTGGGGAGCCCAGCTGAGCTCTTGGGGTTGAGGTTAGGGTTGACAGGATCAGCTGCACTCCCGGGGGGTTCGGGTTCGGGTTGGTGAGGCCATCTGAGCTCCTGGGTTTGAGGTTAGGAGTAGGGGGCCCAGCTGAACTTTTGAGGTTGAGGTTAGGCATGGACGGGCCCATTTGAGCACCTAGGGTTGAGGTTACGGTTGAGAGGATCAGCTGGGCTCTCTGGGCATTCGGGTTAAAGTTAGGATCCCAGCTGAGCTCCTGGGGTTGAGGTTAGGTTTGGGAGGTCTCAGCTTGGCTTTTGGGGTTCTAGTTAGGGTTTGGGGCCCAGCTGAGCTCTTGACAGTGAGGTTAGGGTTGAGAGGATCAGCAGAGCCCTTTGGAGATTCAGGTTATGTTTGGGAATTCCAGCTGAACTCTTGGGGCTGAGGTTAGGTTTGGGGGCTAGCTGAGCTCTTGGGTTAGGAGGTTAGGTTTGAGAGGATTAACTGGGCTCTTGGGGTGTTTTGGTTAGGTTTCAGGGAAGTGTGATCACTGTTATAGTGTCCAGAATGAGGCCCCTCTGCCCCTGGCTTCTGCAGTCCTTGCTTCTGGTGACTTCCAGGACCTGGCCCTGTGCTCAGCGGCTGTCTCGGAAAGAAAAGGATTATTGACAAAGGGAAGGCCATGTGTTTATCGTTTCAGAAAGCACCTCCGCTACCCGACACCAGCCACAGGAGATGGCATCCACAAGCTCCCCAAGGGCCAGTGACCCCAGTCCTGAAGTCAAACAGCACGGAGACTCTGACAGGAAGAGAGGGAGCCCACAGAATCTGCCCATAGAGCATCATTTTGCTTGTAAAGAGTGTGGGGACACCTTCCGGCTTAAAGTCCTGCTTGTCCAGCACCAGAGAGTCCACAGTGAGGAGAAGGGCTGGGAATGTGGTGATTGCGGTAAGGTCTTTAAGGGGGTGGTGGAGTTCAACGAGCACAGGAAGAGCCACGTAGCTGCGGAGCCCCGGCCCGGCCCCAGTAGGGCCCTGGAGAATGCCACGGAGAAGAGGGAGCAGATGGAGAGGGAGGCCAAGCCCTTCGAGTGCGAGGAGTGCGGGAAGCGGTTTAAGAAGAACGCAGGCCTCAGTCAGCATCTGAGGGTCCACAGCAGAGACAAGCCCTTTGATTGTGAGGAGTGCGGGCGGTCCTTCAAAGTCAACACCCACTTCTTCCAGCATCAGAAACTTCACACTTCGGAAAAGCCTTTTGCCTGCAAGGCGTGCAGCAGGGATTTCCTGGATCGCCAGGAGCTTCTCAAGCACCAGCGCATGCACACCGGCCACCTGCCCTTCGACTGCGACGACTGCGGCAAGTCCTTCCGAGGGGTCAGCGGGCTGGCCGAGCACCAGCGCATCCACAGTGGGGCTAAGCCATACGGCTGTCCCCACTGCGGCAAGCTCTTCCGAAGGAGCTCGGAGCTCACCAAGCACCGGCGGATCCACACGGGCGAGAAGCCCTACGCTTGCGGCCAGTGTGGCAAGGCCTTCCGCCAGAGCTCCAGCCTTCTGGAGCACGCGCGCATCCACAGCGGCGAGCGGCCCTATGCGTGCGGCGACTGTGGCAAGGCCTTCCGCGGGCCCTCCGACCTCATCAAGCACCGGCGCATACACAGCGGACTGAAACCCTACGAGTGCGACAAGTGCGGCAAGGCCTTCCGCAGGAGCTCCGGCCTCAGTCGCCACCGGCGGATCCACAGCGGTGCACGACGCTGCGAATGCAATCAGTGTGGCCGCGTCTTCAAGAGGCGCTCGGCGCTGCAGAAGCATCAGCCGACCCACCACGAGTAGAAACACCCTGCGGAACAGGGACAGGGTCCCCAGAGGGGGATGGCAGAGTCAAAGGAGATGAACAGTTTTGTAGCGCTTATATATTTTGTCTTCCGAAAGGTTGAGACCGATTTCCACTGCCACCAGCAATTTATAAGTGTACATTATGCCCATCGAGAGTAGCTTGTACCATTTAACTTAGCTTGGCTAGTTTAACTGGTAGGAAATACCATCAAGGTATTTCAGTCCACATGCCTTGAATCCAAGAATGAGAAAGGACAAATCTGGATGTGGGGTTGGGAGGGGCTTAGAGGTCGTCGACTCCAAGCGCCCCCCCTCCCGACCCAGAGAAACACACAAAGCTGTTCCTTATAATGTGATCCCAGCTTCCTGAAGACAAGTTGCCCTCACGGTTTTTTTTGGTTTTTTTTTTTTTTGCCTACTTGAATTTATAAATTTTTAGGGATGTAAATAGAACACTCAAATGTCTTAAAATATTTAATTTATTAATTTAGTTATACATACATATTGTAAATCACATATATAACATAATATATTAATTTAGAAAATGCCCCGTTTTGCCACCCTCCCTTTCACGAAATCATTTGGCTCTGACTCCTCACTGTCTTCGCTAGCATGGGATCCCTGTTTGAGTCATCAGACAGTTTGAAAACATCCCATCGCTTCCATCCGAGTTCTGCGCAATAGCTCAGTGACAGTCCCTACGTGAGGTTCTCATTGGAAATTTTCTCCCAAGTCATAAGACCATATTCACAGAACATTAGGACGATTGATCTTGTCGTTTTTTCATCTGTGCTGTGACTCTGAAACATACCCACTTAAGGTGGTGCTTTTTCAGACAACCTTTAAATGGCTTTGCTTTTCAAACATCCAAAATGTCATTGTGAGGCCAAACACCTGGTAGTAGTTACTGACTCTGGGTTAAATGTCTGTGTCTTTTTTTCTTCAACCATTTCAATTTGGTGTCCCCTATAAATATCCAAAAGTAGCATCGATTGGGGTTGTTTTGAACTAATGGGTCTTGTCCTCAAGCAGCACTATTTTGTTCAAAATAAAATAGTTGAGAGCATGCCCCTAAGAAGAGATGCATCTCAAAGACTCAAGTGCAGGGTGACGCCTCCTTTTGGAAACAAGAGCCTTTCCTGGTATCAGGTCTAGATGGTACTTCTCTAGCCTTCTGTTTCTAGCTCTGTAAAATGGGGGTGATCACAGCACATACCTCCGAAGGTTATCACGACGACTGGGACTGCCATCGTCCCTGCAGAGTGCCAAGACCACCAGACTGGAACGGAGGTACACACTCAGTGAAGGCCATCTGCTGTCATTGTCATAGTTATTGCTGTCATTCTGTGGCTTGTCAGTTCCAGAACTGGAAATAGACCCCAGGCCTCCTGACCACCGATCTCATCTTTTTCCTCTTATGCAATGACTTAAATACTGTTTCTGTTTTTTGGCATGCAAATTGTTCATTCATCTCCTTTGACTAGTCATCAAGTGACCTTTGGATATATTAACTTTGCATAGCAGTTCTTTCTGTATTGATGGTAATGTTCCCTTTTCCAGTTTTATTGCTTTGCTCTTTGTAGCAGTTTTATTATGTTTTTGTCGTGAAAGCTCTTAAGTTTCACATATCCAAGCTTTTAATTTCTACGTTTTTGTCCACTCACTCATAATTTTCATTGCTTCTGTAGCTAGATATGATGACATTTTTTCTAGAATTTTAATTACAAACAAAAAGCTGAAACTCCTGCCCATCGGAAGGTGAGTACACCAGGTGGGCAGGCTCGATGGAAATGGGCCAGAGAAGCAGGCTCTTTCCTCACCCGAGATGCAGACTCCGTATCTGTCAGTGGGTACCACTTGACTATCCAGCCTAGCCGCTGTGGCACGCTGGAACTGCTCCCATCACAGACTCGCCAGAACTCCGTGACTGTTCATCAATGTAGATCCTGCCAGCAACAGCTGGGCTTGGCCTCACCTAGATCAATGGGGTGATCCAAAAGCAGCCCAGCCGTCCTTGGAGTTCCCGGGAGACTTGGCAGTGCTCGGAGTGGATTCTGTGACTGAGCAGCAGATCTACCCAAGAGACATCTCCTTGGACACAGGAAGACTTGCCTGTACCACATCCTCCTTTCAGCCAGTGACTCTAGAACTAGAGAGAGATTGGTTCATAGGCTTCCGCTTTGGGCAGCTGGGGGAAAATTCACCCATGCGTTCTGGTGTCCCTTCCTGCAGCCACGCCTAAGCTAGGGCAACAGAGCAGAGGCTCCAAGCAGAACCCTGCCCCTCCAATGGCCTGCACGTCATGCTGATAGAAACTGGCAGCACTGGCCTGGGCTATGACTTAAAATAGCCATGCCCAGGAGGAGCACTAAAGCAGAGGTTTGGAGGACAGTGGTACTCTTCTGACAGCCTATGTGGCATTGAAGTAGAAGCTGGTCCTCCTGGGGCTCAACTGCTAATTCCAGTGGCCTGCCCCAAGAGGAACAGCAGCAAGGGCTGACAAGGAGCCTGCCCCTCCAGTGGCCCACAGTAGCCACAGATAAAAGCCAGCCACACCAGGGCTGTGGTGTGACTTCCCAGCGGCTGTGGCTGGGCACAGGGACACTAGGAGGGCCTGGCAAGGAAGTGTGCCCTCGTGGGCCCACCAAGGCAGAGCTTCCTAGCAGACACAACTTGGAGGGGCCTCTCAGGCCCCCATCCTGGGAAGCAAGGTCCTACAGTGACCCCTGTGACCTTGGCCAGAAGGTCCTCTCACATGGATCCAGGCCCCCACAGTGGCACTCCGCAACATCTCCACCCTGACCCCCAGGTTGGAGAGGAGCCAAAAGCACTTGTTACATAGTGATTCCTTTTGCCCTGTGGGCCTCAGTTCCTGCAGTAATTGTGAATCTGTGACTGAAATCACTACTTTCTTCTCGGATCCGTTTTCTCTTTCCAAGCTGTTAGGATGTGTTTTGTACAGCTGTCATTTGATAAAGGTTAACCTCTACCAGGGGCAAGTCTGGCATCTTTACCTAGAATTACTTTGCCATGTCTTCCCTGTTCGTTCATCATTTGCTGGGTTTTATGAAAGATCCCATTGAAACCTAGATGCAGCATTAACTCAGAAGATAGCATAAAGTCGTCACTGCTCTCAGCTGGGACGCGGCATCTTGGCATCCCTTCCTGCCCTCGTTGACTCTTTCCCATCTTCGGTTCTATAATTTTCTCTCAAACAAATCCTCTTTTACAGTTAACACTAAAGATCTCGTCTTTGCCATCAAGGTTGACAGAGCAGCTGTTCATGACGTTTGCGGTGAAATCCATGTTCTCTTTCAACACAGTCTGTGGCTTTAACATGTGTCCTGTAATTTGCCGAGTTCATTTTTTTGCCTCTGGTAACTTGGGGCTGGATTTCTTTGGACACTCTAGGTGTACTGCTATGTCAGATGTAAAACGTCACCCAGCTTCCTGTTGCATATCCTCGTCTGTGCGTTCATGCATCTACCTCATTACAGTTTTCTTTCTAATCCCATGTATTCCTATTGTGAGGGAATTTGTTCTTTTCCCAATCCTTTTGTAGTTCATACACGTGACAGTGGGGTTTCAACACATGTGTGAGATGTGCCTCCTTCAAACCTCGTTACTATGTCGGCAGATGACTTGTCTGACATGGAAAAAGAAAAAAGAAATACATTCTTTTCCTACCATTTGAAAAAAGAAACCCTCCATTGCTTTTATCAGAATTTCGAATACTTGTGAAAATTTTCACAAGAAAGTAATCGCTTACCATTTTTGCTGCTTAGTACGATGAGCTATGTCCATTAGCTGTGTCACTCAACTCTGGCATTTCCAGAATAGGCCCTACCCAATTGGAGTGGGCATCTGTCTCGCGTGATGTTGCATTCCATGTGCTTGATTTTTTGCTAGAACTGGGCGCGCCTGTCTTACCTGCAGCCCTGGGTTGTGGCCGTGTTGCGTACCATATGATTTGCCACCCCCCTTCTAGGCCACATTAATTCAACCAGAACTGAACACCTGACCCGAGGGCAGCAAGCAATCATCAGAGCGGTAGAGCTGGCAGGACTGGCAGAATATTACAGACCATGGACACCAGCAGACCTTCAGATCTGTGAAGTACAAACAAGGAAACAGAGCTTCTAGGCATCGGAAGGTATGGGGAGCAGTACAGTACTCAGAGCAGTGAGGAACGTGGCGCCTGCTGGGAGGGACGCCTGGCCACGGTATGTTCTTGGGTTTCTGGCGGCTGCCCTCATTGGTCCACGTGTATCCTCAGCACGACCCCTGACTTGAGCCTGCTCCTTTCTATTGTGTTTTGCCATTTGGCTGCTTCCTGGCCAAGTCGCCCCTGACTGTGTGAACACCTGTTTAAATGTGTGTTCTCTCTTCTCTAAGATGGGTGAAAGTCAATGCCTTCTAGTCTCGGTGAATTTCACCTGTGCTTTCATGTCCAGCTATTGTTCCTTTACTGAACCCACCACGTGGGGGCCATAAAATGAGTGAAGTCACAGCGCACCCTCTTCTCTGATTTTTGAAGTGTTTCATGATTTCCAGCATGTCCATCAGATGGGGGATTGCTGGCTTCTCTCTTACCAGCTAGTCGTCATTACGTCACTTTGGGTGTTTACTTTGAAAGGTAGAAACTGTCTCTTTACATACTATCTCAATGTCACTTGCACATCTCTGAGAACTGTTCGGTTGTTGGCACTTTTTTCTCATTACCCCCCAGTCTCGTTACCTTGTCTGTTTTCTTGCACTCACTATAATCAGCCTTGCACTAGAGCTGTGTGTGGACTTGGCTTCACCCCCTCCTCCTCAGCCCTCCCCAACCCATTATATTGTGAGCTCTTAGAAGACAGGGGTGGCCCTTCGTGTCTGACCCCCTACCAAATCTAGCACAGTGCCTTGCATCAAGTAGATTTCAATAAATATATGTTCAATGGCATTGGACTTCCTTGACTTCTTTTGTCGGAGCTTTGTTTACCACTTCCCTGGGGTTCTATACTTCTGCTTGCACTTAGAAAGGGCCCCCTCCTGGGGTCCAGATTGTATCATGGTTATTCCAACACTCGCTGAGCACTTGGAGGGAAGAGGGAGCACCCTGATGGAGGAGGCTGGTTTGCCGAGCTCTCCCTTGGCAGAAGGGGTCTTTCACTCAGCCTCTCCTTAGCACAGCTAGGGCTCCCCAAGTCAGAATTCCAGGTGGGAGCAGAAAACAAGATCCGCAGCTCCTCCCTCAAGGTCTGGGAATGGGATAACATGACTTTGGGACTTGAGAATCATCCCACTTCTAGGCTGCATAGGGGTAGGGGTGAGGGTTCAGTACTCTTGGTGGCCTGTGGCTGGCCCTCTCCCTGGTGACCACTGCCTTAGAGAAACCAG